TGGGTATTAATGCAAGGCTTGCCCTACTCTGCTAAGCCTTATTCGTCTGTCCTTTAGTCTTATGGGGTATACACTCTGAAAACTGAATGCGAAGTAGATCAATGCTCCGACCACCAAAGACCCCACCTTTAAAACGATCTCGCCGTGGCTTTACGCCAATCTACCTTCCGGTACCTAGTTACCGGGAAGACTATTATTGAACAAAGATATGGACGTAACGAGGGGAACCTCAGACCAGCCGCATCTCGATATTTTTCCCAAAACAGCTTGTTCCTACTTCGTCTAGGAACCTCGACTCCTCGATTTATTGTCGTCCTGCCACTCTCCCATTTTACTCCCTTGGCCGATTCTTAAGCTCCCCCAGAAAACTTAATAGCAAGAGTGGTGAAGTCCTGCATTGCCAATGTATTCGAAATCATGAGATTCCAGTTTTGGGCTTCCAATATAACAGGCCCACAAATCAGACAAAAAACATCATAGCTGGAGCCTTGATCTGGCGATAAGAACATAATGACAAACAGATAGAACCTTAAAAAGCGGTAAGGCTTAAAAGGTTATCAGATATTTCCTAACGGTTGATTCGACTGTCAAAGAGACTTCTTGCTTTTCTATCGGAGGTTAAGGCTATCCTTTATGCCAGATTAGCAACCACATATGGCGTATTTCGCCCAATATACCTTACCCAAAATAAAGCCACCAATACGCCCTTAAGACGACGCTGAATAGTTTAAGGCGTGGACCCGAGCTTAGACAAAGCCTGTACATGTAAGATATTTGTTCAGATGCAGATCATTCTGGGGAGGAACCAAGCGGCAGCTCTTAAGAAATCCTTTAAGGACATTAATGAGCTCCGAATTCTTCGATTATCCATATGCATATGTTTCATCTAGGAGTAGGTTGGGAAGACCGCATCTCGAAGGAATTATCCATTTAGATTTAAAAACCCTTTTAGAACTCGAACAACACACATTTATCCTCAGCATGACAAATAGATGAGAGCCCTACATAAGGCCTGGAGGACTTAGTCTGGAAACTGGCCTGCTTGCGCAAGATACATCTGCGTTTCTCAGACCAGGTACAGGAGTTAATCAGAACAAATATAGCTCTGAATGAGGATTAAACTTTCCTGAGACAATGAAGAACTGTGAACTTTGCAAACTAAAGAGGGCTGGAAAGTTGTCTGAAAAATAATCTAACCTATAATCAAGTAGAGTAGACGGTGTTCTTAATGACCACTGCACCTCCTGAAAGACAGTCAAAGTCCAAGAGCACTAAAAATCAGGCGATGAATAAGTCAATTAAATTAATAGGAAGAATATACGAAAAGTATTTTGAAAAAATTTTATATAGGTATGTTAATAGGTGCAAGTGAGGCCACAAGTACATGCTTAAACATATATATATTATACTAATATATGTTATACATGCACAGTGATAATGTTTGATGTACTGACGGCAAATAGTCAACGCTTAACCAATGTGCTTTTTCGGAAAACAATTAAATGGCGATAATATGCTAAAAGAGACAGATAAATAGAGAAAGAAAAACAAAGGCAAATGAAATTAATAATTGAAGTCTGTACTATTAAAGCAGAAAAAGAAGTCTAATTCCCATAAGCCTAACTATATTTAATTGAGAGAATTATCAACCTAAAAGCCGATTCCTAAAACAGGTTAATCAGGCTTGGATGCCGAATTTATTTAAACACAACTAGGGTGAGAAATGGCACCTAAAACAATATTCTACGGATCAATGTTGGAAAATGCCAGAAAAGTTGCTTGCATTTGCTCGTGTAGGTGTGTATGGAATACAAATGTAGAGAGAATAGAGTCAATGATAGAATATTGGAAGTGAAGAGTTAGTTAAAGAAAGCAATCGAAGCGGAGTAGAACAGAGTTCACTTCGACGTTATATTAGCTTCTAGAAAACAAATAAGTAAAAATCAAAGAAAAATATGTAGGTAAAACACAGGGTGTAAGCGGATACCATTCTTAAGATGTGATAAGTTTAGGCAAATTATATTGTGCTAGTGAGTATGCGTGTCCATTCAGTCGCGTGTAGGCATAATTCTGGAGAACATTTCCAAGAAAAATGAGTACAAGACGAGCCGATCAAAAGTGGACTAATTGGCAACTGAGATAAAAAGAAGTGTCAACCAAACCGATGAAAGAATGAACATTCGATAACACAAAGTTGGTGGAAGGAAAAAAGTAAACAAATAGATTTTTAAAAAGAATCCAAGATAAAATATGAAGTAAGTCAAAAAGGAGAAACCAAAAAAAAGACCAAAAAGATATTTTTAGAAGTAAAAGAGAAGAATAGAAATATGGCAAGGATGAAAATAAGGAGTAATCACCTATATTAGATTGTAAGAACAGATTGTGTTTGTCCATAAGACTTGATGGGCTGAGGCGGGGACTATGCCGGCGATAAAGGTTATTCAAATCAACCCGATAAGAAGAGAAAAGAAAATGTGATAATATTTTTAGTTTTTTTAAGAAGATCAAAAAGCTGGGGAGAAAATATAAATGAAGGCATGAGAGTATAGTGGATTCGAGAAAAGATATGATCAAAAAAAACAACAAAAGCAGTAAAGCAGCAATTGGAGATAAGAATAAACAAGCAAGTAGGAAATCAAAACAAATATAGAAAATATGAAAGCACAGACGAGCAAGACAATCAGGTTTAAAGCCGTTTCAATAGACGGAGCTGTAAAGATAACGGAAATGGGTAAAGCTACAAAAATAGTCTATGAAAGCATCAGAACTAGGCCAAAAAAATAGCTTCTCAAAATAATGAGCTTGGCGCTTTCTGCGTAGTCTGTAGGTTAATCATAGTCGATAAGCCGGGAAGAATTGAAGAAAACATAAAAGAAAATTGCATGGAGTCAAGGATGGGATGGGGTGGATATGATAAATAGAAAAAAGAAATCGCCCATGCAGGCTGGGCAGGCC